TGGCAGCCTATTTCATAAATTGCACCCGTCATATTAACAAAATGTTTGTAATTATTTTAATTGCGGTTATTTCAAATGCTTCTCTCGGCCCAATCTGCCCATTTTCTCTGCCACAGGCTCTCCCTGCCCCAACAATTGGCGGATCCGGGGGTGGGTGGAGGGAGGGTGGTAATAGGGCAATTGTTCCCCCCTCCCCCAGAAAATAGTGCTGGCCGAGGCTCAATACACACACTGCTCCCAATACACACACTGCACCCTTTACATACAAACACACTGCTCCCAATATACAAATTGCTACCCCATACATACACTACACCCCTCCATACACATACTGCGACCCTCACAAACACTGCACCCCTCACACACATACACACTACAGCCCCTATCCCGGCAGACCCTGGGTAAGTTATCAAACATTTTTTTTTTAAACGGTTTGACTACTTACTCTGGGAGGGTGCCACAGCAACTCCTGGCACCAAAACCACTACAGAGAGCTGTAGTGGTTATTGTGCCAGGATTGTTTCTTAAAATGATCTGCCTGTGTCCCTCCCGAGATTGGCTTCTGGATCCGCCATTGGCCCCAACATATATTGCAGATACATATACTTACACACACACACACTTACAATCATGTAGATGCACAAATTCAAACACTGACACATATGCAGATGCACATACAAACAGATACAAACACTGACATACATACAGATACACAAAAAAATCACAAAGACACCAATACAAACACTTGCACATACAAACAGATACAAACACTGACATACATACAGATACACAAAAAAATCACAAAGACACCAATACAAACACTGACACATATGCAGATGCACACATACACAGATACAGACACTGACACAGGTACATATACACACACTGACAAATATGCAGATGAACAGACACAGATACAAACACTGCTACACATGCATATTCACACACACAGAGATACAAACATAGATACAAATACTGACACAAATACAGATACCCACACACTCACAGACACACCCAGATACAAAAACACACCAATACAATCTCTGTCACAGATACAGAGACTGACATACATGCAGATTAACTGATACACACGGTGACACACATGCAAATACACAGAGACACTGTAGCTGTGTATCTGCATGTGTGTCAGTGTGTGTATCTGTGTGTCAGTGTTTGTATTTGTGTGTCTGTATCTGTATGTGTGTCAGTATTTGTGTGTCTGTATCTGTATGTCTGTATCTGTATGTCTGTATCTGTATGTGTGTCAGTGTTTGTATCAGTGTGTCTGTATCTGTATGTGTGTCAGTGATTTTGTGTGTCTATGAATCTGCATGTGTGGCAATGTTTGTATCTGTGTGTCTGTACAGAGGAAAGGGCTAGCCAGTCCTGACTTTGTGCAACCTATCAGATTTGACAAATTTGAGTAAAGACGTTGGCAGCATCAGCTCGTGAGTAGCTATACTAAAGGAAGCTGTTCTTTTTAACAGCAGAGCAAACAGCCCCTCTAGCACAAGGGGGAGGGAGATGAAAATGTAAGGAGGGCTACACAGGTTGTGGACTTCAACCAGACAGTTTGCAGTCTCCCGGGTGCTCAGGTCTGGCATGTTGCTGACCGAGTGGATGGATTATTACGAGGGGCTTGGCATAAACCAGCGGTCAAGGTCCATGTTGGTACCAATGACAAAGTTAGAGGCAGATGGAAGGTTCAAAGGAATTATTTCAGGCAATAAGGTAGTAAAAAAATGACCTCCAAAGTGGTATTGTCTGAGATATTACCATTGGCATGTGCTACAGTGGAAAGGCAGCGTGAGAATGCGTGGCTAAAGTCTTGGTGCAGGAAGGAGGGCCATGTTAGTGGTAGTCCTATAATAAGATTTCTGTTTATTTGCTTTAAACAGTTCACATTGTTTTATTATTCTGTGTTAGGTATCTTTTAAAATTTCAGTGTCTCCAATTGATATGTTTGTATAATTCATGTTTTATATACATATACTGGGAGTTGTGTGTACACTGATATTTCTTGTATTTTTTTACTTTTCACTTTGAGTGTCAGGGAAGCACTTTATATATCAGTTACATTGTTTGCGTTTTTGGGTCTTCTGTTTAAACTTTATGTGAAGTGACTAACATACTTATTTTGTATACTAGTACAGAGTATAAGACAGCAATTCTGGTGGCCTTCTCTTAAATGAGACGTCAAGGATTATGTCAGTTCCTGTATCACTTGTGCCTGTGCTAAAATAAACACATCCAAAACCGCTGGATTGTTACAACCATTACCTGTCCCATCCAGACCTTTGAGCCATCTTACGGTTGACTTCAAGGTAGACCTACCTACTTCACAAGGATATGATACAATCATGGTTGTTGTAGACAGTCGGACAAAAATGGCACATTTTGTTCCAGTCAAAGGGCTCCCTACAGCCAAATGGACTGCCACCCTTTTTTGTCGACAACATTTTTAAACAACATGGAATTCCCAAATTCATCCTCTCAGATAGAGGAACTTAATTCACTTCCCACTTCTGGAAAGCCATCTGTCAATCACTCAAAATATCCGTAGATCTATCCACTGCCTTTCATCCCCAACTGAAAGACTGAGAGAACATATCACACCCTGGAAACATACAGTTGCAAGAAAAAGTATGTGAACACTTTGGAATGATATGGATTTCTGCACAAATTGGTCATAAAATGTGATCTGATCATCATCTAAGTCACAACAATAGACAATCACAGTCTGCTTAAACTAATAACACACAAATAAGTAAATGTTGCCATGTTTTAATTGAACACACCATGTAAACATTCACAGTGCAGGTGGAACAAGTATGTGAACCCCTAGACTAATGACATCTCCAAGAGCTAATTGGAGTGAATTGTCAGCCAACTGGAGTCCAATCAATGAGATGAGATTGGAGGTGTTGGTTACAGCTGCCCTGCCCTATAAAAAACACACACCAGTTCTGGGTTTGCTTTTCACAAGAAGCATTGCCTGATGTGAATGATGCCTCGCACAAAAGAGCTCTCAGAAGACCTACGATTAAGAATTGTTGACTTGCATAAAGCTGGAAAGGGTTATAAAAGTATCTCCAAAAGCCTTGCTGTTCATCAGTCCACGGTAAGACAAATTGTCTATAAATGGAGAAAGTTCAGCACTGCTGCTCCTCTCCCTAGGAGTGGCCATCCTGTGAAGATGACTGCAAGAGCACAGCTCAGACTGCTCAATGAGGTGAAGAAGAATCCTAGAGTGTCAGCTAAAGACTTACAAAAGTCACTGGCAAATGCTAATATCCCTGTTAGCGAATCTACAATATGTAAAACACTAAACAAGAATGGATTTCATGGGAGGATACCACAGAGGAAGCCCCTGCTGTCCAAACAAAACATTGCTGCACGTTTACAGTTTGCACAAGAGCACCTGGATGTTCCACAGCAGTACTGGCAAAATATTCTGTGGACAGATTAAACCAAAGTTGAGTTGTTTGGAAGAAACACACAACAAAAGGCACAGCACACCAACATCAAAACCTCATCCCAACTGTGAAGTATGGTGGGCATCATGGTTTGGGACTGCTTTGCTGCGTCAGGGCCTGGACGGATTGCTATCATCGAAGGAAAAATTAATTCCCAAGATTATCAAGACATTTTACAGGAGTACTTAAGGCCATCTGTCTACCAGCTGAAGCTCAACAGAAGATGGGTGTTGCAACAGGACAATGATCCAAAGCATAGAAGTAAATCAACAACAGAATGGCTTAAACAGAAGAAAATACGCCTTCTGAAGTGGCCTAGTCATAGTCCTGACCTCAACCCGATTGAGATGCTGTGGCATGACCTTAAGAAAGCAATTCACACCAGACATCCCAAGAATATTGCTGAACTGAAACAGTTCTGTAAAGAGGAATGGTCAAGAATTACTCCTGACCGTTGTGCACGTCTGATCTGCAACTACAGGAAACGTTTGGTTGAAGTTATTGCTGCCAAAGGAGGTTCAACCAGTTATTAAATCCAAGGGTTCACATACTTTTTCCACCTGCACTGTGAATGTTTACATGGTGTGTTCAATAAAAACATGGCAACATTTACTTATTTGTGTGTTATTAGTTTAAGCAGACTGTGATTGTCTATTGTTGTGACTTAGATGATGATCAGATCACATTTTATGACCAATTTGTGCAGAAATCCATATCATTCCAAAGGGTTCACATACTTTTTCTTGCAACTGTATCTCCGTTGTTACTGTACTCATTTATAATCTGATAGGAAAGAATTGTTATCTACAGCTGAATTTGCCTATCACTCCAAACAACATGATTCCACCCAAGAATCCCCTTTTATCCTTTAATGATGAATTACGGTTTCCATCTGATTACCTTTCCAGGAAGTCCCTCACTTACGCCTGTTCCAATTGTCACAGGACATTTACAGCAATTAGCTCAGGATTTTCTGCAAGCCAAACAGACATTACAAGAGAATCAAGAGACCTACAAAAAATATGCAGATCTCAACTCCCCCTCCCCCGCCCACCAACTTACCAAGTGTGCCAACAGGTTTGGTTATCTACAAGATACTTGAAGTTATCCTGTCCTACCAAGAAATTGAGACCCAAGTTTATTGGCCCCTTCCATATTTCCAAACTTGTCTCTCCTGTCATTGTAAAACTAGATCTAACACGTCAGTATCTTATACATCCTTCATTTCATGTTTCTCTGATCAAACCTGACAAAGAAAATACTTTTCCAGACAGAGATATACCACCTCCTGATCCAATAACAGTTGGAGAACCTGAATATAAAGTTCAAAAGTTTCCAGATTCTTGTAGATGCAAAAGAAATCTAGAATATATCATCCACTGAAAAGGTTATGGCCCTGAAGAAAGGTCTTGGGAACCTGCGGAAAACATCCATGCACCTTGACTTGTACGAATGTTCCACTCTCGACATCCTGATTGTCAGGCGCCCTTATGTCTCCATCGTAGGGGGGAGGGGGGTTTGTCAATGTTTGTATCTGTGTGTCTGTACATGTGTATGTATGTATCTGAGTATTTCCATGTCAAGGAGCTGGTCCTCACGGCAAGCCGAAACCGCAGTCACCCACATGAAGACTACCCCACAGTGAAGATCTTCAATGACCTCTCAGCGGCAACGCTGAAAAAACAACGGGCGTTCCAACAAGTCGCAGAAGCTCTACGGCAACATGGCACCAAATACCGATGGGGCTACCCGACCAAGATGTTAATCCAACAAGGAGGTGTCTTCAAACCCGTCCATACCCGAGAGGAAGGCATTAAACTTCTAAAAGAATGGGGCATACCGCTTAACCCGTCAGAGTCTGCTGCACAGCCGATTAAGAAGACAACACGGGAGTGGAGCGTTGCCCGCAAGAGACTTACCTAATCAACACGATGGCATGGGTCGAAAGTATTATCCACGCACAACACCACAACCGCACTGTCCTACACTATACTCCACAACTCCTATACACACGCTTATTACAGATGTTATTCTTTCAGCCTCCCTTTTTTCCCCACACATACATACTGCCACACCACACAAAGAAATGGAGCGGATGACCCAGTTTATGGGCCGCAAAGCAGAATGCCCTGCTTGCCAATCGTGGACACTATCCCAAAACTTAACCACAACTGAACTAGCTACAGTTTGTTGAAATCCCACAGTGGCTCTACCACTTAATAATATTAAGACTGTTACAATGTTTTTAGTATTACCTGTCTAGATTTCGCATATGTTTATTAAGATGCCATGGGCACTGGGGGTTTAGAGTCATGATGCCCGAAAATACTATATGCAATGTTATATATATAGAAGTACGCCTAGGTTGTATCCCATAGACTCCACAGTGACCCTGTCACATGCACCGGAAGCATAGACGCACTGGGTGTTAGTGTTCCCCGGGTGCTGCATCGCTGGCGCTAGACATGACATGACGTAGTAGACAACAAGGTAGACCAGGGAATTTTAGGCCTTGTGGGGTCTGCGGCTGTGTGGGGTACACGGGGGATCTGGCCCTAGATACGGTCCCTGTCGTTGGGCACACCCTGTTACACGGCTGACGAAGCAGGCTAGCACCGCCCCTATGCACGGCGGAGATCATGTCGTGCATATCGACCGTGGGCCGGGCAGAGGCCACTGTATGAAGTGACTGTGCACATGGCAGCGGTAACCCGCACGGGCTATGGCGTATGCAGCTCCACATGAAGAGCTTTGACTGTGCTGGGTGATATGTTGCACACCCTGCTATGCCAAGGTTAAAAATTACAATGGAAGCTGATAGAGCCCACATGTAACTCGCCTTTAAGCCTTTCTATGACATTGATTATATCCCACAGAGCTCGACAGCCACATCACGGGTGAGCCCAGGAACTCCCACCCCCGAGGTGTGGACCTTCCGCACCATACCCTCCCAGGAGGAAACCATGTTCATAACATCCAAGTTCTATTGCCCAGGTTATACCTCCTCCCCTACCCCAACCCACAGAAGAGAGGACCAAACACTGACCAGCCTACCCACTATATAGCACACAACCATCTCATACCACAGTGGAAACAAACTCATATGGTACAATGTGCCTCAATCCAGCATCTCACTTTACACCCATGTCCATAACAATACGATCCAATAACACTAGAGGGTTGAACCACCTGCATAAACGACGCATTCTATTGGAAGCGGCAAATAGGGATAAAATAGATATCCTATGCGTCCAAGAGACTCACTTTGTGACAAAGAGTCCCCAAATTTGGACTACGGGACTACCCAACTCAGTTCCACGCTACTCACTCCTCCAAATCCGAGGGGGTGTCTTTTCTGACACATCACTCACTGACGTTTGAACTGCTGAGCATACGCAAAGATGCGCAGGGGAGGTATATAGTACTACACTGCATAGTAAACAACTCTGAATATGTATTGGTGGGGGCATACGGCCCAAACACGAACCAAACACAATTCTTACAGAGAGTATTGAACAAATTACCCATCTCTACTATGGGAAATATAGTTATCTGTGGAGATTTAAATCATGTGCTAAACTCACACACGATACGTCCCTCCCTAGCATTTCCCCACGACACTCCGCAACAAGGACACAGAGCAAAGCCCTAAACAACCTACTAACAGAACACAACTTGGCGCACACTACACCCTATGGATAAAGAGTTTACTTACTATTCACAGGCACAAAAGTCGTTCTCCAGAATAGACTACGTATTGGTGTCAGGGACATTGGCGCCAAGAATAACTCACTGCCAGATTGGAGACATTGTGTGGTCAGACCATGCTACTGTCACCTAAGAGGCTTCTTTCCCCATAGAGGGCAGGCACCCTGGCGCCTAAATGACTCCTTACTGCACGACTCTACATTTCGGGCGCGACTGATACGGAATCTGGAACAATATTTCCAGACCAATGATACTCCGGACATATCCCCCAGCTCACTGTGGCAGGCCCACAAGCCGACCATACGAGGACTACTGATCAGCAGAGCCACCTACATTAAACGCACATCCAATGAGGAATAGATGACACTACTACAAACAGTTAGGGATGCCATGGCCGCACATGCACTAAACCCAAACGCTGCTCATCTCACCTTAATAGCGTCCGCTACTAAACGACTGAACGACATCCACCTAGCCAAATCATCCTACGCTATGCAATGCTTAAAAATGAGACAATATTCCCAGGGCAACAAGGCAGGGAAAGTTATGGCAGCACTGTTAAGGAAAAAACAATCCCAATCTAAAATCCCTTACCTACACACTAGCAGTGGGGAAAAACTATATAACCCCCAAGATATTAACAATGAGATGGCAACATTTTACCACACACTGTACAATTTGAAGCAGGACGACACAACCCACCAACCTACAGACACCAAAATCAAACATTTCTTTAACCTCACAACGCCTGCACAAGTAGAACAACTACAAGCTCCAATAACGACCCAAGAGACACTTAACACTATCGCGTCATTACCGCCTGGCAAGTCCCCGGGACCAGACGGTCTAACAAATTGTTACTACAAAACATTTGCTACCACATTGGCCCCGCACCTGACATTATACAACCATATAACCACTACGGGCAAAATGCTGAGGGAAATGCTAATGGCGCATGTGGCCACACTCCCTAAGCCAGGGAAACCATCAAATAGGTGCCAGAACCTACGCCCAATCTCGCTCCTCAACACGGACACAAAAATATTAGCTAAAATTTTTGCCAACAGACTGTCAACAATAATTCCTACTCTAGTACACGCAGACCAGGTGGGGTTTGTGAGCGGCCGCCAGGGGGCAGACGGGGTGAGGAAAGTATTGGATCTGTTGGGTGGACTGCAGGGAGGGGGAGCGCCGAGCGTGTTGGTGTCGTTGGACGCTAAAAAAGCATTTGACCGCCTTCACTGGCCCTTCCTCCGTGCGGTCCTAGGGAGATTCGGATTCCCCCCACGGTTCAAGGCATTGGTGGAAGCGTTGTACTCATGCCCTTCGGCACAAGTGGTAAATGGGGGCTTCTCATCTAGCAACTTCAACATCTCAAACGGCTCTAGGCAGGGCTGGCCCCTATCCCCGATATTGTACATACTCGCCCTGGAACCACTCACACATCTGATTAGGAATGACCCCATGATCCAGGGAATTAGGGTAAAACACGAAGAATATAAAATCACACTGTTTGCGGATGACATCCTCCTCACGCTACAAAACCCACACTCCTCCCTGACGGCGCTACACAATCTGATACACCAATATGGAAAATGCTCGTACGATAAATTAAATATTACCAAAACACAGGCATTGGGCATCAATATACTGCAACCCGAGATGAGCCACCTTAAAACTAATTTTGCGTTCGAATGGTGCACGGACAAACTTAAATTTCTAGGGATAGCCTTAACAAAAACATTAGCGGGCATCCACGAGGCGAATTACATCCCACTTCTCGCGGAGCTAAAATCCCTTGTACACGGTTGGAAAGGGAAATTTATATCATGGGTGGGCAGGATAGCTGATGTAAAAATGCTGGTCCTCCCAAGAATACAATATCTGTTCAGAAACATCCCACTTGCAATTCCTAGACGTTACCTATGTGAAGTGCAAACTCTAGTAACCTCGTTTATATGGAATAATACTAAACCTAGAATAGCAGCAGCTGCACTGCATAAACCCCTCCAGAAAGGGGGGATGGGCTTGCCAAATATAGCTCACTACTACAAAGCGGCCATACTAAGCCCACTCTTGGCAGCTACTGGTAACCCCAGCCCCCCACAGTGGGTACGTATAGAAGCATTTTACATGAATGACTTCACACTACCTGCTTTGGCTTGGATATCTAGGAAATTACGGCCTAAGCATAAGGACATCCTCCCCACTACTCACACTACAAATCTGGGATCAGTTTGGGAAAACACATATAATGAAAGGGGGTACCTCTCTGGCAACGCCAATGGAGACACTGTGCCTGACCATACCGGGATTCCACCTTCGAATATGGCACAACCACGACATTAAACATCTCTACCACATATGTCAGGGCCCAATCTTGAACACATTCACTGAGATCCAAAAACAATATGGGCTTCCTGACACAGCTCACTTCTCGTATATGCAATTAGGGTCATGGTTTAGGACACAAATGATCTGTTCCTACCATCCGGAGGCTGGTCTACAACTGACGGAGTTAGAATTAATATGCCTTAACTTAAAACCGAAGAAAAAAAATTATCTCAGTTTACGCAATATACAACTCCACAGTAGGCCCCCAAACCTACACCTTCATGAAAGCATGGGAGCGTGATCTAAGAACCCACATAACTGAGAGTCAATGGGCCCAAATATTTAGAGGACACAATAATCGTTCCTTGTGTGCCTCACATATAGAGATTACGCGTAAAATAATGTACAGATGGATCAACAAAGGGAACCCAAACATACCAGACACATGCTGGCGTTGCACAGACGGTAAGGGGTCCATGCTACACATCTGGTGGACATGCCCAAAACTGAAACCATATTGGAATGATATAACACAACTGATACAGGACAGTACGGGCGTCCACCTACAACAAAAGCCTGAAGTCTATCTGTTCCAACTATTTCCCAAAGATCTCACAAAACCCCAAGTATACCTCATATACCATATCATAGTAGCAGCCCTACAAACGATTAGCAGTCACTGGCAAAACTCAAATTCACCACACGTGTCCCAATGTCTAACAGCACTACAGATGACGAGACAATATGAAATGATGGCACGTAAAAATGCACCACCAAAGCAATTTATAGTGGCAGCCTGGAACGCATGGGAATTGTATATGATGGGAAAAAAGGGGGGAATCCCTGCGTCACTGCAACGCAACCTAGACACGTAAATATGA